ATTTATAATATATTTATTTATTCATTTGTGTGTTTATTCTCCACCATGTTCCAAAATGGATGTCAGGTGGCTTACAAGAATACACAAAATACAACATGATAGCATAAAGTCAAAGCAGATAAGAAAGTAAAAGGAAATAACAAAAACAATAAAGATAGGAACACGAACTGGAGCCTGGCGGAAAGCTAATACAAAGTGCATACATACCGTAGAGTCCCATTACAAGTGCTATGCATGGACCACACATTTGGCTCCAAGCTTTCTAGTAGCCAACAAAAGAGAAACCTGATCAGTCCCACACTTCACAGGGTCCATAAAATAAAAGCAATCCATATGGTTAGGATATCCCTTTCCTGGTCTAAATCCTGAAAACTTTTCTACAGTACAGTATAATAAAATGGTGGCAAATTGTACCCCCGAAATTGCTCTAACACCAAATTTCAGCTTTTGGAACAGTTACCAACAAAATAATCCTCAATCTTAAAATTACGTCTACTATTTCTTTTGTTTTCTTTTATCTATCTCTTGAAGTTCTCTTTAGTCAATGACACGTAGATATTAAAAGGACTTCTTCAAAAACAAACAACAAAAAACATCCTCTGATATCACCAAAGCAAATATTTTCAGTTAGGAAATAAAATCGACATTGTGAAATTATAATGGCCAAATTTGGAAAAACCCTCAAATATCCAACAAAAGAAAATGGTTAACTAAACCATGATGCCATCCTATGGTGAAATATTATACATCATTGAAAATGATGTTTACAAATACTTTGTTAAATATTCACGATAGAAATGTTAAGTATAAAAGCACAAAACTGTACACATTATAATCCTTTCCATGTGAAAATTATATATGTGCATATATAGTCATAGAAAACGTCAGGAAATAAATCCACCAAAACATCAACATTGCTTCTAGGATTTGTGATTATGGGTGGTTTTTATCTTTTTTCCTAGATGCTTATCTTTATTTTCCAAGTTTTTGACATTGATGAATGATTTATGATCAGAAAAAGAGGTACTAAGAAGAAAAATACCAACTTAGTTACCTCTGGCTTATAAAATTATAGGCAATTTTAATTTTATTTTTTAAATTTTCTATAATTGACATGAAAAGTTCCAGTTAGGGAGGAAGTTACTTATTAAAAAAATAAAAGAATAAAAGAATTCAAAAATCTAGTTTTCTCAGTTGTTTGTCAATAAGGTCCAAATGCTACAAATATAATGATATCATGGTTATTCAGCACTTCCTAATTTTACTTTTAACAGCCATCTGGTACTTAGAATTATACCCAATTATCACAAATATTGTAGTATTTGTGCCAGATATTACCATCTTCACTTAACAGGTGATGAAACTGAGAAACCAAGTGACTGGCCCAAAGTCACAATAATCAGTGGCAGAGCTGAACATGAACCCAGGTCTCAAGAACCCAAGTCCAGTGCTCTTTCCATTAGTTCACTACTGACTGTGGTTAACCAATTACCAAGAGACAGGAACACAGAAATAGTAGTCCCTCCTTCCCCATGAGAGTCAGGTTCCTGAACAACCCCCAAGATAAGAGAATGCAGCTGAGGAGATCATGATATTGGAAGGGGGAAAAATTGGGCAAAAATGAGGTCACAAGTAAACTGTTGGAAATCCTCATAAATTCTTTTATGCAGGTAAACAATAACAACAGTACATTACATAAAAAGAATAATGAGTTTACATAGCTTAAATCAGTAAAAATGATAAGCTTTATACAATTTCCATTTAGATCCTGAAACAATTTCCAGAGGTGATGAGGATATATCTCGCACTCATTATGGTAGTGGCAAAAGTGGGTAACAGAGAAGCAATGAACAGAAGTGGACTGTTAATTCATTCAAATCATGGATGGCTATACTCTCAGAGTCAGTGCAGCTGAATCCTGAAGTTATAACAACTTGCTTGGGCTTTATCTCTATCAAGCAAGTGAATTTAAGTGGCCCTTCTAAAGAAGCTTTCATCTTCTCAAGTCCTTTTTGAAGACACCTTAGCACTTCTGTATGGAGTTCAATTTAATCATTCAATCTTTGTCTGAAGGTAACTTATTAGCTGTCCACTAAGAGTATTTATATGGTACTACTTGCTAATTTAGGCTTTTCTGAGGTTTCTTTCTTCCCAATTTAGTGTTTTAAAAAGACCCTGGCCGGGCGCGGTGGCTCAAGCCTGTAATCCCAGCACTTTGGGAGGCCGAGGCGGGTGGATCATGAGGTCATGAGATTGAGACCATCCTGGTCAACATGGTGAAACCCCGTCTCTACTAAAGATACAAAAAATTAGCTGGGCATGGTGGCATGTGCCTGTAATCCCAGCTACTCGGGAGGCTGAGGCAGGAGAATTGCCTGAACCCAGGAGGCGGAGGTTGCAGTGAGCCAAGATCGCGCCATTGCACTCCAGCCTGGGTAACAAGAGCGAAACTCCGTCTCAAAAAAAAAAAAAAAAAAAAAAAAGACCCTTAGCACCTTTAGAGTCTAATTAAATCAGACTTTGAAAGTGTTTTATCAGCTGTCCAGCAACAGTATTAAATGGCACATGATTTAAGTTCTATTGAAGATAGTTCCTGTCCAATATGATTATGTTTGAAGGCATCATAGCAACTGTTTATAGAATTCTGCTACATCACTCAAGCTTTGAACAGGTAAGATTTGACACATGTAAAGATGCCAATTTTAATTACCTTCTTACGGAAGTTTTAATCTTGTTCTAAAAATTTTGCTCCTGTTTCTCATAGCTGTGTTTGTTTCCATAGCCTCCTAATTGTCTTCATCAACACTTGTCAAAATAACCTCTGGAGTCAAGAAACTTCCTGAGGATCATCCTCTAGCAGCATTAACTTGAATCAGTGTCAACAGGTTCAGATTCAACTTGCGCCAATTATTGCTCTTGTGCCAAATGTTCATCCTTATCCATAGGATTTTTTTTTTTGTCTTTGGGAAGGATCGAGGAAAGATATTTTCCCTACCTCTATCCAAGTCTTCTCTCAGGTCACATTAATGACAGGCTCTGTTATGCTATCTAATGCCTCTTTGGGAAGTTACAGCCTGAAAACCCATTAAAAATCAACAGCCAAACCTTCATTAAGGTTTGGTAATGCCATTAGTAATGGAATCTCATGTACCAGGATCTTTAGACGGTGGAAACTTTGTGAGATTTTGAACAAAGTTATATATTATTTTAGTATAAGCCTTCCTGAATAGCCAGATCACATAGTGATCAAAAGACTGAAGAATCTGAGACATGTGGCTAGTTACAAAGACACTCTTCCCATTAGGATGCATATTGGCAAATGTACTTGAAGCACCAAATAGCGTCAAGCATCAGCAGGACTCTAAATTCAAGCTATTTTTTTTTCCTTTTAAGTAGTCTTGAATGTCCACAAGAAAGTACTGTTCAAGCCATCCCTTAAAGAGAGGAGGATCCATCCAGGTTTTTCTGTTTGCTTGCCAGTACACTGGAAACTTGGCTCATTTATTTTCCCTGAGAGGGTTTGGGCACAGTTTTCTACAGAGCAGCAAGCGTTTCACTATGAGGTCACCTGAAGTACTGGCAAAAAAAAAAAAAAAAGGAAATGTCAGCCTCTCTGATTTTGCTGACCTCAGCATCAGTGGGCTCTTGCTCTTCAGAAGTATTCAAAAGTTTTGAAAGCTTGACTGACATTCTCAATAGCACTAAAGATTTCTGCAGGCATGTAATCTCCTTCTTCAACCACTTCCTGAAGTTATGGTTAATACAACATGAGAGCTACAGGAACTAGTGGTTTGTTCTTCGGCACAACTGCCAAATAAGAACTGGTTTCCACGTTATGGTGCACATTAAATTCCTCAAACCATCTCTTACTCCCAGCAAATGTTTTTTCTGGATTCATTTCAGTGTCCAAAAAACATGTCTTTGAAAACTCCTCTTGCAGGGTCACAGATCCCTTGAATGGAATGTGGTTCATTATTCTTTGGTTTATCTTCAATCCAGAGGTTTAACTTCATTTCCATATTTTCCATCCTTGGGTCATGAAGAACAAAGCATCTTTTAAGTTATGTCGGTGTACAAGAAGCAGTACTGGCCACACTAATAGTTTCAGCTTTCTTTACGGTATGAATTGCAGATTAACACTATTTAAGTGACCTACAAAGCTATTTATTTTACCTAGAAGAAACAGATTGAGAATGTCCTGTTTCTCTTCTAAAGACATTACCCTTCTTGCCCTTCTGACAACTTTCTATGGTGTCACTGCCCTAGTACTTGCTTCATATCTGTAGAAGCCATGTTTCAGCTTTATGCTAATTAATGCAACCTGGAAGTTACTTACTAGAGATTTCATATCCCTGCATGTTTCAAAGCATTAGCATATGATATTTAAGCACCAAATGGTATTATAAACACCAGAAGGATAATTTATAATATATTGGTATGCTACTTAGTACACATGGGGCTGACTATCTAGGGGACAACAGGTAGAAGAATGAGAATGGAAACAAATGACTCAGAAATGCCTTCCCACCTACGATATAGTCAGAGAGACAATATTGTGGCAACGTAGACTGATTCCCATATACTAAATTCAAAATCTTCAGTCACCAAAAAGGTATACAGAACTAAATCCACCTATACCCAAATTTCTAAAAAGAACAACTTACAGTTAGGGAGGGATTATTGTAAATTCTACTCTATATTATCAGAAAGAAAGTCACTGTTGATATATTCAAGACAGTACTGTTGCTATGATTACCCTTGGCTTAACACTAAGAATTTAATTTTATGTGAAAGGCAAATATAGTTTAAATTATATTCTGTCAGCCCACAGTAAATCAATCAAACATTATTCTCTGACAAAATGCAACCTCTGAAGATGTAGATGAAAAGGTCAGGCAGGCCCTGAATAGTCAATGCTCAAGAAACCACCACTTAAGAAAGAAAGTGAAAATGAAAGAATAAACTAGCCCCTTTTCAATGCCCGGCCACTGATACTTTACTTTTATCCCCTCCTCCTGGGAAGATAGAGCGAAGCCTGGCTTTCTTATTCTTCTCTTCAGGGGCCATGGGAAGTGGTTTGGAGCTGTGGTTGAGTGCTGAAGAATCCCGGTTGTTACTATTCATCCTCAGTGGGGGAGCTGGGGGTTTCTCTTCATTATCCAGACCGTCAGACATTTTCCGTTACTACCAGTTTCACAGCTCCTAAAGAAAAAGAGGGAAAAGACAGGAGTTGAGGGAGAAGAGGTCTAAAAACAACCTAGTAACTATGGGGATTCTAACATTGGTCTCATGTTTTCTGAGTTTTTTTGTGGATCATTTTTAGGGGTTTCTTTTCTGGAGGAGAGGAAGTTACCTCCCAAAAACCCTGATGCAATTTTCAAAAAAGGAAAGTGAAGGCAGTAATTAATGGCTTTTCAAATGTTATAAAAACACATAAGTCTCTTTGCTTTTCCCACATTGAAACTCTATTTTCTGTTCTCTACTCACAGTGTTTTAACGAACAATTTACGATCTTATTTTAAAATTCTATACTGATGATTGTTAAGGGTCAGGTGATCAGCTTCCTCAGAGTTTGGAATTCACACAGGTTTGGGTGTTGATTTTTAATGGCCCATAACAATGACTTGTTAGCTGCTTTAACGTCGAGATGTCCGTGGTATTTATTTCTTACATGAGTGTACCTCATTTACAAAATGTACTCTCCTGCTTTTATGGTAATTAACTGAGAAACCATCCCCTAGATCTGGAAGTTTCAGCATAGCTGGAGTGTGCTGTTAGGGTAAATGTAAATGATGTTCCATATTCTCACAAGCAGGCAGAAGATGAAGGTGGCAAATGTCAGAGGGCCAGTTCCCAAGGAGACACCATAACCTTACTCCCTGCCACATTTTATGTCCCGGAACAAGAAACAAGGGAGGTGACACAAGTAGCTAGCTGTAAGATCCAGTCTGGGTTTTAGGAGCTCATTTGCTCTTAATTTCATTATTCTTAGTATCTTGTGTCTGTGTCTGAGTATATTCAGTTTTCATTCCAGAAGGATTTATTACCCAGGAGGATAAACTGGAAAAGCATGGATTCCCCAAGGAAATGTTTGTCTGCAGGTGTTTTCCTACTCTAATTAAAGTCCTTCCATAAGGTCCTGACCCCAGCACAAGTCAAGTACTAATAGTACCTTCTAAATGAATCCCCAGTTTGAATTCAAGGAAAATCAAATCCCTTTAAAACTGCATCTCTGTAAATTTATCAAGTATTCGCTGATACTAATTTAGAAATATAACAACTCTCCAAACATGACTCAGCATATTACTTTGTTCCAACAACATTTACTATGAACAAACCCAAGAACTACAAAAACAAAAGCAGGGGTCTCATCATTAACTTTGTGTTGTGCTGAAAACTTATCTATCTATCAATCCTTTCTAGCCATTTAGTGGTTATAATGTGTTTATTACGCTCAGTAATGCACTCCAAGTTACATCATTTATGTAGAGAAGTTCAAAAAATTTATTTTGTTTTAATTCTCTCAAATATATACAGTCTGGAATTAAGATAGGTTATTATCGATTAATAGAATCACCGTCTGCACAGGTGATTGACAACTAACAATTGGCTTAATCTTGATTTAAACAGGAGATCTCTTTTTGTTTTGCTTAACTGTCATGCCTTGCATTATCTTAATGAATTAAGACCAATTATTTTTTCAGTAATCACAATAGTGAAAATACTAAGTAATAAATGGTTTTTCACTATCACCAACAATTTCATAAACCTCACATTTTCCTATTTAGGTCAAACTACAGAACAAGGTACAATGAAAAAGGAATTGTGATGTCAAGGATAAAGTATATTCATAGATACTAGCATAAATATTTTAATTAGAATATGAGACCAGTGCTAATGTGTCTGCATTACCTTTTGCATTTTATTTTTGGTCCTTCTAAATTCACAGTTTCTCTAGAATTAAAATGAATTTGAGACTGACTTCATTAGTGGCATTATTCTGCACTGGACAGGTTCATGGTTTTAATTTAGTCACAGAGAAAATTTGCCACCAGAAACAAGGCATTAGTTTTCTCCTTAACATTTCCATGTTCAAAAACTATCAGCAAATATAAAATGACTACTACATAAATATGTATACAGATATACAAAATCTAGCTTGGTAAAAATAATGAAATTTGAAAGTTATTACAGAGAAACTGAGTATTTTAAAATAGAAATACCCAGAAGACAAACTTCCAAAAAGAGTGTCTTACAGGGACAGAGAGCCACCATTTTCTGGATGATATATATTTTCTGATGACATATTTAACTTGAGATGACAGAAGTCAGTGAAATGGGCCATATGACCTCTTTAAAATGATATATGAATCTGATCTTGCATGATAAGACAAGAGTCTGGGCCAGCCAGGGTTTCAGCACAACTACAGAATTTAAAATACTATGCTCCTTTGTTCTTGATAAATTGGTGTGACTGGCAACAGAGTGGCCTTTTTTGTTTCTAATTACTCCACCTGACCAGAGACAGGTAGATGCCCTGCTTCTTTTCAGGCTGCCTGACTACCCTGACCTTATTTGACCCAAGTATAAAGTAGGTTGGGAAGAAAGGAAGACTTGCAATCTAAAACTCCAACTAAACTCTTCTATATCGAACTAAAAATCCTTGACCAAAAATTCAGTAACACACATTTGCCATGGTCAGTATCACAGACATTCTGCAAAGGACTCAGCTTATGTGGCATACATTCCTATTGTCCACGAAACTGGAAGTATTTCAATGTCAGTCAACTCATCAGAGCATCATAAGAGAAGCTGGAATACACCTTTTACAAAGATGGAAGTGAAACTGAGGAACCTATGTCCAGTTCCACACTAGGAACTTAATAAAGCATGAACCAATCAATCTCTGTTTTCCTAAACTGTTCAGATACAGTTTTGTTTTAATTGTCTTGATATCACTTTGATTCTTTAATAACCACTACAAGGCACAACCAGTCATCCTCTGCTAATGATTCCAGATAATTCTGATTTGGTGTTGAAAGAATAGTACAGGAGGTTCTCAGTATTTTAACTCGACTTCAAATCACGTGGTTCTAAGCACATTTTTAGAAGACCAATGGAGAAAGGGTAGGGATCTGCAAGGAATCCTTGTAGTTAAACTATTTGTTTCACAAGTGGGAGGTATCTCCTACTATTCCACAAACATATTAAAAAAGCAATTTTATTATGTTATGTTTATAAACAATGCCAATCTACTAAGCCATGTGTTCCCCTGAGACAGCTTTCTATAAAGGATACTATTAATGGATTGCTGGTTCAATCTGCCTATGATGTCACTATTTCCAAGATCTTGAAAGAGACTATTTTATTTGGGGCGGCCGTAGGCTCTATTTCAAGAATTGTACAAAAGCACCATTATTCTCCAGGAACCCAATAAAAAAACTATTTTATCTTTAAAGTTCAACTGTTGTTGTTTATTTCTATAACAGGACAGAAACTTGTAAGTGAGTAGCACATTAGATATAGCCACAGGCTTTTCATTTTACTTTTAAAGGTTGGCCCTTAGCATTGTGGAGCTGACTTTAGTGGATAACCAGCAACAGTTTGTACCTGTTCACAAATTGATTTCATACTTGACTATTAGGTTTTCCAGAGACAATTCAAATTGCTTTGGTGTATGGGGTATATTTTTTTATTCAACCCTTAGGACTTAATGTGGTTTAGCAACGCTCTGTAATTACACTTTTAATTCATCAGCAATAAGACATAAGCCTCTTATTTCATGATAAGCAAGGAGCCTAAATATCCTTTTTTCTTCAGAGTACTAGGAGAGATTACCTCTCTCTTTCCCTTTGTCTTTCTCTCTTCCTTTCTGCCCACTCCCCACACAAGGTTGAAGGCATTCCCCACACAAGGTTGAAGGCATGTACTTACAGGGGTACACATGAACACATACAGAGGGTCCTTCACTAACCTGCCTTGCCACAGAGCTTTATTGCAAAGGATTTTAGAGAAAAAAACTATTACCAAGGTGCATGGCAACTATAAATTAAATGATTATAAATTATAAACAATTGTCATTAGTCTCTCATTCCTCCAAAATGCATTATCTTAACCAGTGAAGTGCCAAAATTGGACACTCAGGGAATGCTGGGTAGGTGGAAAAAAGAAAGCCACCAACTTGTGCAGATCTAGAAGTCAAGGAGAAAAGTAGGTAATCAACTATACTCTAGCTAATGTGACAAAAATTCACACTATGGCCTATGTGTTGGTTTGAATAAAGCCAAAAATGCCAATTGTGTCCATTTACTACAAGCATTCTACCCAAGTATGTGCAGGATGAAAATCCACAAGTACGAGCTGCACAGCTTGCAGGACCATCTATTAAGCCATGAGCAATTGAAATAAATACTTTTTATCAGATCACATATCGTCAGATAAATAGAAACAACTATATATCTGTATTGTTGTCTGCTTTCAAAATAGACGTAACTATTTATTTTCATATTTTCCCATTGAAAAATTACACTGCCTTCATTTTAAAAACAAAAGCCCAGGTTAGTACATGTACAGTCATGATCTAACAAACACAGAGGTAAATCTCCAAAACCACCAGCCACTCAAGGCTATTATCACAAATCTGAGTACACCAAGGTTGTTTTATGCCCTTTTCATAGCAAAGGAGAGGATCAAACACAGGACCGAGCTGCTGACTAAGGGAAATTTCCAACATCTGAAGATTTCTAGTGATTTTTCAGACATTAATGCCTATAACATGCTAAGATGCCAAAGCAGGCATTTAAGAGGAAGAGAATGAACCAGATCTGGGTCTCCTAGCAACTCTGAACCCACACTACCATTCCAAAACTAGGTGGAAAAGGGACGGCCCAACCACTAACTATAGCCAACTGGATGGGCCCAAATCCATTTTGATCATCTTTTTTCAAATTGCACAGCCATTATCCAAGTTACTCCCCTCATGAGATCAAAAGTTCCTTGAGAGTAAGAGCCCCTCAGTCATAAATATACACTTTTATACTACTAATACAATCTCTTGTTCCCAATAGACATTAAATACATGTATTAAGTAACAAAATGGAACTCTATACATTCTATGTATTTGTTACAGCTATAAGTTTTTCATAAAGTTGCATAAGCCTAGAGACCTAATTGTAGCAAGTCAGAGACAAGAAAGCATATTT